AGAAATACTTGAATGTATGTGCAGGTTCCCAGCAAGTTTATTCTTCAACGCCAAAAACTGGATAACAAAAACAAACATCCAGCCACAATGAATGGTAAGAAATTGTGTTATATTTATAAATGGAAGACTCCCCATCAATATGAAAGAATAGATTAATGACACAAGGGGGAAAAAACCATCAATTTCAAAGCATTACAGTGAATATGGATGTGTGCATCATCTGTATCAACAACTGCCTTAGAAAGACCAAAAGCCTTCCTACTGAGATTGGATGCCAACATCTAACAGGAAAACAGAAGGAAGCCTGGGATATAGTCCTGGGTGCCCAGTTCAGATGGGCCACCCCAGGTGATAGAATCGAAGATGTGCTCCTCATCTTGAGAAAGGCTGGGACCCAGGACCCAGTGCTGCAGTGCTTGCACCTGGGCAAGTGGCTGCCCCAGCAACAAAATACAAAGAAACCATAACAGACTAAAAATAACTGCCTGCATGTGCAGCTGGGGCAAATTATAAAGAATAAAGTACAAAAAAGGCCAAAACCCAACTGCCACTTTTGAGGTACCAGGAGCAAGAGCAGGGTACTTGCAGCATGATCCCTGCAAGCAGCACCCCCGAGGGGGTGAGCAGACCACCTAAGCCACCCCTCCGACCGGACCCACTGATCTGCCCCTACCCCCCACCCCCTACCAGGGAGGGAGCAAGGGCATCTGTTGCTTGTTCTCACTCCCATGTGCCACAGCACAAGTCCCAGTAAAGCCTTGCCTCAATTTCTTATCTCATCTCTTATCAAATTCTCTTGATTAAAAACTCCAAAAAAAAATACCTAATAACAACTAAATAAATAGATCTATTTACCTCCCCCAGCAAAAAAAAGTTGGGGAGGGTATAGCTCAGTGGTAAAGCACTTTCTTAGCATGCACGAGGTCCTGGGTTCAATCCCCAGTACATCCATTAAGAAATAATAAAAATAAATAAAAAATCCAAGTACCTGAGTAGGTAATCTCTGAGCTGTACTAAATGGCTAGATTGAGGGCCACTGGGAGGCAGGAGAGAGCCTTCCAATTCGCATGGGGTGGGAGTGGGGGCTCTTCCACCCGAGTATCATTCTCCCTTTCCCTCTGTGCTGTCTCAGACCCCATCCCACCCCCTCACCATTCCCTGGTTAGGACTCTTGCCTTCCTGCATTCATTTCTCTGCCATGCCCACCAGCCTCTACACAGATGCCCTCAGGCAACATCTTGGTGCCCCAGACAAAAGTCACCTGTGCCTCTGTATTCTTGTCCCCGGACTCACCCACACGCGTCGTCCTGCCTCATCCCTGAACTCCTGCCACCTCTCCCACATGCTTCAGAGTCCAGCAGCTTAAGGATCTCAGGTCCACACCTGACTTAGGCTACTGAACACCCACACCCCCTCCATGTCTGCTGCCAGGTCATCACATATTTTTCCCCTCTTTCAGACACTACTTGGATCCAGATCTTGGTGCCTCTACTTCCATTTTCTTTTTAAAATTTATTACTTATTCATTTAGTTAGTTGGTTTGGGGGACAGTAATTAGGTTTTTATTTATTTATTTTTTAACAGAGGTACAGGGGATGGAACCCAGGACCTCATGCATGCTAAGCATGTGCTCTACCACTGAGCTGTTACCCTCCCCCTCCCCATTTTCTTTATGTTTTTCTACAACTAGCATTTAATAGCAATGGGTATTCACCTCTGTTTCAGAGGCATAAAGCAGAGAAAATTCCTTCCCACAGGCAGGTCACAACCTTTGTGCTTTCATGCTTTCTGTTTCATTCTCCGACCTTTTGTTGTTCAGATGTCACCTTCAGTCTGACCATCGGACTAGTTCAGTCTTTAAACACCCCCATCCTCCTATTTATTCTATCTAGTCCTTTCCCTTTTCTTGGCATTGGGGGGGTAGGTAATTAGGTTTACTTATTTATTTTTACTGGAGGTACTGGGGATTGAAGCCAGGACCTTGTGAATGCTAGACCCTTCCCCCATCCCAGTCCTTTCTTTATAAACATTTTCTGTAACAAGCATTTCCCCAGATTTTTTAAGCATATCTTCTTGCTCCTATGGCCTTTGTCTTTCCTCATCTCCTGGATTATTTCACCCTCTTATTTTAATTTCTTTGTACTTTTTTTCCAGTTCTTTATTCCATATAGTGTGTGAGGCTGACCATGCTGTTCTGAGACTGCCCTCCTTCTTTCATACCTAATTCCCATGCCCTGGTTGTATGAGTTGCTCTGTATGTGTCTGGAGGAAAGGTCAGGGTCAGGCCAGGTGCCCTGGCAGATGCAAGAGTGTGAAATGAGGAGATGGGGACCAGGAAGGGAGCCCAGTTCCACCCCACTAGGAGACCAGGCTTGTCTATTTTCATCTTAACTTGGCCAGTGTGGAGGCATCTCCTAAGCTGTCATCCATCACAAAGGTCTGTGGGGTGAGAGGGGATGGCCTGACAGCCCAGGGGCAGTGGATCTGCCTGACCTCGCCTCAAACCCTGTTGCCCAGATATCACTGTCTATTCCAGCACCACAGTCTGAAGGTGGTACAGGAAGGTGGTGGCTGTCCCGAGGCCATGTCGATGGTAACTGAAACCGCTTTTCTTTAACTCTTCCTTACCACAGCTTTGGACCTTCATCCAGGGAGGTCTGCAAGGACCTTGATTCCCCTCATGTTTTGGAACCGGACTCTGTGAATTGCCATCACCTGTGTTTCTCTCTATCTTCTGATTTCTCTGCTGCAATCTGGGGATATAATCAGCAGCCTTTGCAAGATTACCATCTCTCCTGGACCCTGAAACTATCTTTTTTTTTAATTCTTATTTTTTTTATTTAAGTGTAGTCATTTTACAATGTTAGTTTCAGGTGTACAGCAAGGCAATTTAATTATACATATGCATACATATATTTTTTTTCAGACTCTTTCCCATTACAGCTCATTACAAGAAATTGTGCTATATAGACAGTAGGTCCCTGTTGTTTATCTCTTTTATATATAGTAGTGTGTATTTGTTAATCCCAAACTCCTAATATATCCCTCCCCTGTCTTTCTACCCTGGTAACCATACTTTGTTTTCTATGTCCATGAGTCTATTTCTGGTTTGTAAATAAAATTTGTATTTTTTTTTTTAGATTCCATATATAAATCATACCATATGATACTCTTTCTCTGTCTAACTCACCCGAGGCTGGGTTAAAGTTTCCATTCCATAAATCCTTCTGCCTTCCCGGCAGCTGCCACATTAGATTAGGCCATACTCTCACACCTGGAATATTCATTTCAAATTGACACATAGTAGGACCTGCTGAGTGCTGAGCTGTGTGTAAACCACTGGGGATACTGTGCTGAGCACAACAGAAAAGAATTCCTGTCTATGGAGGCTGACAGACAATAAACAAGACAAGCAAGGAGAAGAGAGATTTTTGTCTGATGGAGATCAGTACAATGGGGAAAATGCAGCTGAGAGGGTAGAGACAGATTGATCGGGGCCGGGGTGGGGAGGTGCTGAGCTTTAGAAAGTGATCAGGAGTTGTTTGGAAAAAGAGCTGGAATGAATTCATGGAGAGCTGAGGTTCTTCTTCCAGGGAGGGAAGGGGGAGAAAGGCCCAGGGTAGGGGTGCAGCTGCTAGGTTCTGGGCCAGCCCAGGCCAGCGAGGGTGGGGCATCGCAAGCAAAGGGGCAGGAGGAGGAGCTGAGGTGGTTAGGACCCCAGAGCCAGGTCAGCAGGGCTTCCTGGTCACTGTCAGGACGCAGTGTGTCCATGATGCTCGCGGTGTGGGCAGAGGACACCACCATTCTCCACACCCTCTCCCATCTGAAGGGAGGTAAGAACAAAATAGAGTAAACGTATAAATTCTAAGGGCAAGTGGTGGACGTTTTACGTACATTGAGTCCGATGGCAAAAAGACCTTGCACTTTGTATGGCTTGGTTTTCTTGTCAGTTTCACATTTCTGCTAATTCACATTTATTGAATTTTGTGAAATTGTGAGTCCATGGGGAGCAGAGATGCTCTTTACCATAGGCGGTCTGAGCTTTGCTCTAAGTGACTCGCAGCCACTGGGGGGTTTCCAGTGAAGAGAGACCTGTCCAGACTCAGTTATAACAGGGTCCCTGTGACAGCTGCTTTGAGAAAGAGACGTGTGTGTGGGAGGAGGGGAGGCCAGGTAAGAGCTGACCTCATTAATCCAGGGGAGGGATGATGGTGCCTGGGCAGTGGAGGGGTGAAAAGTGGTTTGATTCTGGATATAACTTGAAAGTAGATGGCGATTAGTGTCAGGACGGCTGCAAAAGCCCCTTCTCTCAAAAAAACCCGAACAACAACTCCATCTGCTTCCCTAACTCTTCTCTCGTCTTCTGGGTGGTCACTCACTCCACTATGAGTCAAGAAACAGAAGTGTTGAGTTTTCCTGAAACCTCTTCCTCCTGCTTTCCCTCTGGTGTGTACAGGACCCTCCACTCCCAGCCAGACCTTCAAACCAGGAGGCTCCCATCATTTTAACCCCCTCCTCTTCCTCAGTCCCCATAAGTCCATCAAACGTCATATGCTTTCTTGACATAAAATAAGCACTGCTTTTTCCCTTCCCACGAAATGATCTTAGTTTCAGCCCCTGTGATTTGTTGGACTAGGAACCCCTTCTTTGGGGTCCCAGGGCACCCTCTGACTCACCAACCCCAGACTGGCAGAGGAGGAGAGAACGCTAGTTTTGTTCTCTGCTTCACTCACAATCCACAAATCTTGGAAAATTGTAAAGTGTTAGCAAGTCTGTTTAAGAGTCACTTAGGAGAAAATTAGACCAGAACATATGTGAGACTAAACTTCATATCCCTGCTTGTAAGTGTTGTTACATTTCACTGCAGAAACATGAGTGTGTTTGGTTATGGGGAGCTGAAGCTGGAGGAAGATTCCAACAGGGATCCATCCCATCAACAGGCAGGGTTTTATCCAATCAGGTCTTTAAATGCATCACTGTCCCAGGCTTTTTTTAAAAAGGGAGGAGTCTGGGGAAGGCACATCAGACGAACCCAGTGTGGGAAGCCAGTCACACAGCAGCTCAGCCTTCAGCCCAGGACTACCCGGTTTGAAGTTCAGTCTTCTCAAGGAGGTGAGTTTCCTGAACAAAAGGACCATGTCCAGTTTCATGTATGTGAGTGTGCATGCATGTGTATGTGGGCATAGCTACGGGGAGAGAATTCCTAGGGTCACAGATATGCTGTCTCTTGGGCGTGGGGGATGGTCTATCGTGACAGCCACTCTGGCTGTACAAAACCTGGCCTGACTGAAGGAGATGTCTCCCAGGACAGTCTATTTGTATGGCTTTGTGGTCTTGTTAATTTTATGTTTTAGTAATTCATTTTTATTGCAGCTTGTGAAAGTATAGGTCCATGGCCAATTGAGGTTGAAATTTAAAGAGTGCGTGTCAGCGAGTTAGCAAACTTTTACTGAGTGTTTACCGTGTGCCAGCGAATGCTCCATGTGCTTCACATGTATTAACTTTTTAGCTTCCATGGCAGTTCTGAGCTGGGTGTCCTTGGCAATCACAGCCCCCATGACAAAGATGTAGGTCTCCTGGGTAACGTGTCTGGGGTCACAGAGCTTGTAAATGCCAGGCTCCAGATTAAGAACGTGGGCAGTGGGTTGGTGGGAGATTGTGTTTGGTTTTTTAATGAGATGTAATTGACATATAACATTGTACTCATTTCAGATGTAGGACACAATGATTCAGTATTTCCATGTATTGTGAAATGATCACCACAATAAGTCTAGTTAAGATCCATGGGAGGGGGTGGGTATAGCTCAGTTGTAGAGTGTCCTGCCTGGGTTCAGTCCCCAGTACCTCTATTAAATAAATTAATAAGTAAACCTCCGCCCTTCCCCTCCCCACCCCCCGCCAAAAAAAAATCCATTGGCATGGATAATTACATTTCTTTTTCTTGTGAAAATTTTTAATACGGTGATTTCAAATTCCAAGGTCTTAGCCATAATCATGCTTCTCCGTTTTGTCTGTGTGAAACTGCACATCTGTACGTGTGACCATGCGGTCTGTGTGTGCCTGGGGTACAGAAAGAAAAGTCATGGGGAGGCCCAGATGAAAGAGGAGTTGTGAATTCTACAGAAAGAAAAAAAGAGAGAGAGAGAGAACACCTACTGTCCTGGGTGTAGATAACCAACCGCAACAGCTCTAGAGGGGCAGCGTTGGGGGGGTGAGAACAGGCCCAGGCAAAGCCTGTGGAGACCGGAAGGGGCCTGGTGTTTCCCCTTGAGAGCTGGAGAGAGCCCTGGCGGGAATGCAATGGGACAGTGGAGCGTGACCTGAGCAGATTAGCATTTTAGAAAGGTTGACTGGATAAGTGTGGTAAGTGGGTGAGGCAACCATGTGTTCAGTTTTCTCCTAAACCGTTTTTGGTAGGATCATCTTTGCCTCCTTGATTGATGAGATCAAGGTGGCCCGTCTGATCGCATCACCGGGGAGGTTGGCACAAAGCATGAAGTGAATGAATCAACTAACAGGAACTAATTAGGTATTTGAGTGCCCACAAATCAATCCCAACAAACACCCACATTTTCTGGTTCTGTGGCATGGCATTTGCTCTTGAAAAAAAATACAAATCTTTGAAATGTTACCTATATATAAAAAAAGAAAAGAACACAAAAACAGAGCAATGATACACAAAGAGGATTAAACCTTTCATCTACTTGACATCCCGAGGGGTGTGCCTGTGGCTGCCCAGATAATGTGATTTGCAGTCAGAAATCGATATTGAGTAATGCAAACTCAGTTTCACCCCTGAATCCTACATTCCAATGGAAAAGGACAGATAGAAGAAACAGGTCAATATAAAATTATAACTTTGATAAAAAGCAGTGAAGCAAGGACGACTGCTTTTCATAAGGAAGTGTAATTGTTTATGTAAAAAGAACGACAGTAGAGGTGAAGGTAAAGGGAACGTATTGTTGGGCTGACATGCTGTAGCTGGGGTGGTTCTGCAGATGTTTGTGTCTGATGCAGGGGTTTCCAACCCAGGATGGGATCACGCGTGTGGATTTCAGCCTGTCCTATTTCATTCACTGTATCGTCGACTTTTAAAATAATATTTTGCCTTCTTACCGTGACTGAAGGAACATCCTTGTCTTAGATCATTGCCTTCATTCAGTTACATCATGTCCAATTACCATTTAAGACCCCATTGACTCTTTAAAATGGAACATTTTTTATTGAAGTGTAATTTACATACAGAAAAATGAAAAAGTGAAAGCATATGGCTTAGTGGATTTTTATAGAGAAACAATCCTGTGTAACTACCTCCAAGATCAAGAGGTCCAGCCAAAACTGAATGTACAGTATCCCAGGCACTCTTTAGTCCCAGGCAAACAGGGATGGGCTCTCCATATGTACCTATCCCAGTATCTACTCTTATCTCCAAAATTGTAACCAGCATCCTAAATAATGTTGATAATTTGTACACTTTCCAAAGAACATAAGTGGGAATAAACGGAATGTATCATTCGGTGCCTGGATTATTCCATTTCACGTTGTGTTTTGTGGTTATCCCATGTTGTTGCATGAAGAAGTTCGTTCATACTCTTTGCTGTCAAATGTGCCTCTACATCAATTAAATATAATCTGTCCGCATTGAATGTTGGACACTTGGATTGTTTACAGAATGGGAATATAATGAATTACGTTGATATAAACATTCTTGTATATGTCTTTGATGCACGTGAGTATATTTTTCTGTTGAGTATATGCCAAGGAGTAAACTTGATGATTCACAGGGAATGCGTAAATATGAATTTAGTAGATATCAGTCAAAACATTTCCAAAGTGAGTACTCAGGAGCAGTGATTGAGTGTTCCAGGTGCTCCGGTCCATGCCAATGCCAACGCTATTTGATTTTAGACATACTGCATTTTGCAGCATGTTATTATAGTTTTATTTTGCATTTCTGGAATGACTAATGAGGTTGCACTTTTCTTCATTTGTTTATTCACTAAATGTCTAGTAGAAATCAAACATGAACTCAACTGAACCTGGATTTTGTTTTCAATAATACCAATGCTGTAATTAATTCTCTTATTTCAAGGTTACAGTCTTTAAACCTCCACCAGTTCTTGAAACAGATCCCCTGAGAAACAAGTCAGTAGAGACTGAATCCCTGAAGTTGTGTCTTTCTGAGACTTCTTGTTAAGAATGGCTTCAGAGCCCAGAATCTCCTTTCAAGGTGAACCATCTGGGAATGATCGTGGGTCAGGAAATTTAGACCTTAAACCCAGTCAAGGATCTGCCATCCATGAGGGAGAGGAGAACTCTGAGTTCCCAGGCACTCAGCTCAGCTTATTTCAAAACAGCAATAACTCATGTGCAAGGCAGGAGCTGCAAAGACTCTATAAATTATTTCACTCATGGCTGCAGCCAGAAAAACACAGCAAAAATGAAATCATTTCTCAGTTGGTCCTGGGACAGTTTCTGATCAGTGGCCACTGCAGTGACAGGTCTGTTTTACAAGAGAAATGGAATGCAAGTGGCAGAAACCTGCAGAAATTCATGGAAGACGTGACTGATGATGGCATGAAGCCACCTGGCTTAGTAAGTAGAGGGTGCTGGCCGCTGGGATTGGGGGCGGAGGGGTGCAAGGAATATGCAGTCTGTTGGGGTTACCTAGAAGCAGAGGAAGAAGAGTTATTACAGATAGTAATCAAGCTTTGTTT